TTGAGGAATCGCGACAAGGATTCGTAGGTACAATTACTTTGTAGCATTTAATATCGTTGGCAAACAAAATAAAAAGTGAAAATCGAAAAACTGATTGTAGGTCATTCATATACATGAGAAGAAACATGGGGCCCAGATTTCACCCTTGCGGTACACCGGATGTACCAGAAAACGTATCAGAAAATTCGTGGTTAATTTTAACAACTAAAGGTCTGTGAAGAAGATAATTTTTAAATAATATTAACAAATTTCTAGGAACACCCATGCTTCTCAGTTTACTTAAAAGAATATTATATTCTTATAGTCGATAATGATCGACTCTATCAAAGGCCTTCGAGAGATCATAGAACATAGAATTAGGTATAAATCTGTTTTGACGAGTTGAATTAATAACATTCCAAAAGTATTTAGAGTTTTTAAGAATTGAGTTTTCAGAGTTTAGAATATAGTTATTATAAAAAATCGTTGATAAAATTTTACAATTAGATCTTAACTTAGAGAACAATAAGTAATTAACATCATTTTCATCTCTCTGTATCTAGCATGTGCTGCCTTTTTATCTACTGCCAATTTTTTCAATTCAAATGTTGAACCATAGTGGAAAAGTCGAAGTATTAACTGGAGACTTTAATGACACGAATGTTAAAAACTTAACTGCCAACTTTCTGATAATCCATGTCAGGTATATTCTATTCATTTCTCGAATGAGTCTAGCAGAAGTAAAAACCAAAAAGTTAAAAAACATTACAAATGAAAATCAAAACAAAAAATTAGATTCACTACAAAATTTTATAAAAAATTTTCGGCAATCTCTACCCAAAAATTTCCGCAGATCTACCTATGGGGGTAGATTATAACTGTTCGGGGTTTATGTTGAGGGAGAAATTGGGTTGGGAGAAGTTAGTAGTTTGGAGAAAATGAGGAAGGAGAGAATGGAAGATGTTCCTTTAAAGTCTTCAATATTTAATGTAATGTTGATCCATTTCGTTATATTTGTTTCCTTTATTGATTCATATTTTATCATTCAGCCCTACTGGAACATCCGAGTCGTCATACTATTTTATTTTGAAAAACAATTTCAGATTTTAATCTCTACACTCCTTTTTGACTTATATGAATGCAGTAATCATCTCAACAATTAAACTAAAACGTACTAGAAATATTTTCCTTGAACTAATATTATTTTATTATTTTATAAGCAATTAAATTACTTCTTTAACCATATGAAGATTATAAAAAATTCTTCCATTTAAAAGAAACTAAGAATTTTTGTTAATGTAATGCAATTTAATGAGGCGCGAATTTCACTGAAAGTTGGAGACATCGCACTAAAGGTTAGATAATCTAACAGGAACGAAGCATTTGATGGTGAAAAAAGGTTAGTGTAATTTTTTCGTAAAACAACGTATAATCATATGAACGACACATGATATTTTAGAATCATTTGAAAAATGGCAAGTATTTCATGAGTGACTCCTAGAACTCCACTCTTCCAATTGTTAGAATTAAGAACAAAGCGGTGATTTCCGCCTTACACTTCCGAGAGATCATACAGGGTCGACAGCCCCATTGTACGATAATCCGATAATAATAGTCAATTATACCCGTTTCCGTAATTTTGGTAATTATCTTCATACTTATTCTTTAGTTATTGAATTAGATTTTCCTAAACTACTCCCATGCAACTTTAATTCATATTTCTTAAGCAATACATGATTTAGTTGAATATTTACATTAATATTTCACTTACTATATATACCTGCTTGATTTCGCTGAAAATAGTTTACGTGACATTTACGGTTACACAATAAATTGGCCCTAACTAAAAGTGTTAACAACGAAATTCGCGTGAGTATGTAAGATTCTTTAATGTGTTTTTATGAATTCTTCCACAACCAAAAGAGTTACGCAAATGTTTTTTTTAAAGCAGATACATCCTCCTTGAAGCATTATGGCGCTTCGGAATTTTTTTTTTTTTTTTGCTACTAATTGTTACAAATTTAGGTCTTTTGATCACAAAATAATTAGTTAATTGTTATTTATTTATTATATAACTACTTATAATTTCAATTAATTATTATTAATCTTTCTTCTTTGAATGAAATTATTTCTCTAAAATTGAAACAATATTTATACTAGAAATGAGATTTTTAAGTTATTTTTTGTTTTTTTGAACGCAGCTTAAAACTGTTTAAAAAGTGACATTTAATAAAAAATATAAAAAGGGGAAAATCCTCTCAATTAGAAAGGAAAACTTTAGTGCTGCAAAAGAAAGAAAATTGTCTAAAATTGATAACATTTTTTTCGGTGTGGATTTTTTATTATTAAATATTTAATAACATAATAAAATTTTTTTATAAAACTTTCAAGGGGAGGGAGCGGCGAAATATCACTCTGTCGATATTTAAGTTGTTAAGGTATGACAATTTTTCTTCTAGTATTTACCATCTAAGTTTATTGTTATTAAAATTTAAGAAAATTATTTTTCACCATTTTCGAAATTTTATTGTTTATGAAAGTTAAAATTTTTTAATAAGCCATACAATTGATTGTTCAGAGTCTTAAAAGGACCGTTTTAGACATTTGGCAATGAATATAAAAAAAAATGGAAAGAAGATGAATTATTAAAATAAACATTAGTAAAATTTAAGTTAATCAAAATTGACCTCGTTATAAGGAGTAGACAATTTTTTGATATTCTTTGAGTACCTAAAATCATAATACACCACGAAAAAAATTTAAAAAAGTAACTTTTAACTGCTTTGCAATCTAAAAATCACATTTAAGTGTCATTCCTTATGTGAGTTTGTCAACATTACATTTTCAAAAATATCTCGAGTTCTATAAAAATAAAGGGATGAATTTTTTTTAATTGTAGATCTGATTATAGTGGATAAAAAATTAGCAGTCTTTGAATTTTGTTTATTAGGTTTAATTATATTTTTTCGCGTTTTAAAATTTTTTAAAATTAGTTTTTTGCAAAAATTTTCAAAAAACTTCTGATACCGATATATGATTTTTCTTAATTTTGTAGAGCTTTTTGAGACGCATCTTTTAACTTATTATTGCACATCTTTCAGCCATGTTAGCCAGAGTTATAAACATTTCAAAAAATGAAATTTTGAAAAAAGTTACTTTTTATGGCTTTTTGGAATTAAATTATCATTTAAGTTTAAATACTTTTAATTCATTATGCAGATGCTTTAAAAACGCATAAAGTGAACTCTTTTTTTAAGTTTATAAGGCTTTTTTTTTTTTTTTATTTAGAAGTTATGAAAGTTTTTAAAAAATTAAATTTTGAAAAAACTTACTTTTTGTCGCTTTTTGGTATTAAATTAACATTTAAGTTTAAATACTTTTAATTAATTATACAGATGCTTCGAAAATGCATAAAATGATATATTTTTAAACTTTATATGTTGTGAAGTTTTTTAAAAAAAATTAAATTTTTAAGAAAGTTACTTTTTATGGCTTTTTGGTATTAAATTAACATTTAAGTTTACATACTTTTAATCTATTGTATAGATGCTTCAAAAATGCAAAAAATGAACTCTTTTCCAAGTTTATAAGGCCTAAAATTAAAAAATTATAAATATTTTTAAAAAATGAAATTTAAAAAAAGTTTCTTTTTATGGCTTTTTGGTATTAAATTAACATTTAAGTTTAAATACTTTTAATTTATTGCTCAGATGCTATAAAAGTGCATAAAATGACCTATTTGGGAACTTTATGTGGCCTAGAAATTAGAAGTTACGAACTTTTTAAAAAAATAAAATTTTGATAAAAGTTACTTTTTGTGGTTTTTCGGTATTAAATTAACATTACTGTTTAAATACTTTTAATAAATTATATAAATGCTTCACAAACCCATAAAATGTTCTATTTTCCATCTCTATAAGGTATAGAATATAGAAGTTATAAAGATTTTTTAAAAATGAAATTTTAAAAAAATTACTTTTTGTGGACTTTTGGTATTAAATTAACATTTAAGTTTAAATACTTTTAATTCATTGTATAGAAGCTTCAAAAAAGCATAAAATGTTCTATTTTGGAACATTATATGGCCTGCAATTTAAAGAATTTTTAAAGCCAAACGGATTTATTAATTTACTTACAGTTTCTATACTTCAATTAATTAATTTATTAATTGCATTCAAGAATGGAAACTATACTCTCAATAGAAGGATGCTCAGATTTAAATGAAAGCAACAAAGAGGAAGAATAATCCGCCCTTAACTTGTTAACCCATTAAAGCCCGAATTATTTCCACTGATTCAATTTTTATCACACTTACAATTAGTATTTAAGAATTTAAGTATTTTCGGGTGGTGATAACGAACCTGAAGTCCCATTTCAATAATTCAAAATGGCAGACATAATATGTCGGACAAAAAAAAATTAAAATCAATCTTATTGGGTTATGAAGTTTTTTTAAAAAAAGTTTTTGGAATCACTGAAAATGAATCTAAAGTAAAAATTTCAAAATTTACTTGAAACTTGTATCATGATTTTGAAGTCTAAAATTAAAAATTTTAAATAGCCGAATCCAAATTGACAGACGAAAATTTAAAAATTAATTATATTTTTGATATTATAATGTTATATTTTTAATTTTCTGCTTCCTATTCTTTTATTCGTGATATCTTATTTAAAAAAGGGTAGCAAAGTGCAGAAATTTTAAAGTAGATTCCATAAAAAGTCACTTGAAAAAAAACATTCTTTTGAACTTTTAATAAGTTATGTGTAAACCGAATAGTTTTTAACTTGTAAAGATTTTCTAATTTACAAAAAAAAATTTGCTTCTATTTTTTTGGAAAAATAGAATAAAGTTGAAAGTGTTGCGTAATAGTATCAAACTACAAGAAAAAATGGAAATCATTAAATGAATAAATTTTCATACACTTTGAAATATGACAAAAACACAAAAAATTGTTAAATATGCGCTGAAGTAATGAACCTGTCATAATTAATGATATATAAAGGATTTAATCGATACTTACCTAATCATAATCCCTTGTCTCATAGGAAATATAATAGAAAATTTTCTTGATATGCACTCACACGAAAACTTTTTTTTTTAAAAAAATTATTTTTCGCAAAAGTTTTTACATCGCAGTTTATTGACAATAAACTAAATCACTCCGGAGGGTCAATTCGTGATGAGTACGACTGTCAATCTGTTGATACAAATGCTACCTTATGAACCACACACGGAACTGTGAAATCGGAAACTAGCCCCACCAATAAGAAAGACTCATCCACTATTGACTTGAGGTAGTAAGTCTCTTGTAATTTAACTGTTGAGAATTTATTTATATTTATCAGATTAAGAGCAGAAATAATGTTCGTATAAAAAAACTTGAAAATTATTACATGATATTAAAACATTTAACGAGAACATTTTTTTAGGTGTTAATACATAAATGGCTTCAATACAGTTTCTGTTAAATAACATTTGGGAGAAATTAAAATTCGGGTAAGAAAAGAATTCTTCTTCTTTTTATCTAGATATATTTAAAATTCGCTTAAATTATAAATCTTTTAATAAAAATTGTATTAAAAAAGTGATGATATATTTTATGTTTTGGAAGGGTACCTTTACGGTAATGAGATAGCAGATTAATGGTAACAATTTTATAAGTACTTATATTTTTTACTTTTTTAAGTCAAAACTAATACGATACATGTCAGAACTTAAGAGGTACTACAATAGTACACATACTAAAAACTACACATAATAACAGAAAATAAAATATTACTTTATGTAATTTAAAAATAATTATATAAGATTTTCACATTAATAACTAAAGTTCATTTTTTATAATATTATTTATTAATCTTGTTACTTTGGTGTCTTCTCGAAGTTGTGCTCCTTTTCGTTGACGACCTCTTTTGTGTCCTTTAAGAGGATTTACATCCAGCAGCATACTGCAAAATAAAAAATAGATAATTTATTATTAACACTTTTATAATAGAATTTTTTGACGTATATTAAAATTAGTTCTATTACTTTGCACATAAATTAAAAAATAATAATAACATTTCTAAAAAATTATTACTTTATTTTATTTACTGACAAAACAAACAAAATAGTTATTATCGTATCAAGGGCGCAAAACAGGTGATTGCGACGATGGCGGGATGAAGGGACCGAGGGGACATTTTTGCGCCCGAGGCGAAGCCGAGGGTGCGAAAGTGTCCCCGAGGTCCCGAATTCTCGCCAAAGTCGTAATCACCTTTGCGCCCATGTTGCGAACATAATTTTTTGTCCTAACTGCATGAAAAGTATGGCATTGAGGGCACGAGCGAAGCGGGCGTAAAAGTACTTTTGCGCCCGCTCGGGCTAGATGAAGCGGGCGCAAAAGTACTTTTGCGCCCGCTTGTGTGACGTCAGCGGGCGTAAATGAACTTTTGCGCCCGCTACCCCGACCCCGGGCGAGAATCAGTTACTTTGCGCCCACCTTAAGTGCTTGAAATGACATACTTTTCGTGTAGGTAGGACAAAAATTCCATTTTTTTATTAAAAACATCAGGGACCGCTTCGGAAGCGAAACTAAATAGAAAATTACTTTCGTTTCAGTGTTTGAGTTGACACGAAACTAAATTAACAAAGTGACTTTAGTTTCAAGTCGACACGAAACTAAATTAATAAACTGAGTTTAGTTTCGTGTCGACTCAAAACAAAAGATTGAAAAACATAATTATTTAGTGTCAATCACAGGAAAATTGTTTCCCCTGACTTACGTAACTAGGGCAACGTAAGTAATTAATGTAAGCTACGTAACCAGAGTAAATTACGTAACTACAGTAACTTTCGTAACCAGAGTAAATTACGTAACTAGAATAACTTACGTAAATGATTAAACTTACGTAAGTAGAATAACTTGCACAATTAATAACATTTACTTAAGTTACGTAACTAGAATAACTTACGCAATTAAAAAACTTACGTAAGTTACGTACGTACAATAACTTACATAAATAATCAAATTTACTTAAATTACGTAAATAATCACATTTACGTAAATTACGTAAATTACGTAAGTTTATTTAATTGTGTAATTTATTCTAGTTACGTAACTTACGTAAGTTTGATCATTTACGTAAGTTACTGTAGTTACGTAATTTACTCTGGTTACGTAACTTACATTAATTACTTACGTTGCTCTAGTTACGTAAGTCAGGGGAAATAATTTTTCTGCGATTGACACTAAATAATTATGTTTTTCAATCTTTTGTTTCGTGTCGACACGAAACTAAATTCATTTTGTTAATTTAGTTTCGTGTCAACACGAAACTAAACTCAGTTTGTTAATTTAGTTTCGTGTCGACTTGAAACTAAAGTCACTTTGTTAATTTAGTTTCGTGTCAACTCAAACACTAAAACGAAATTAAACTTTCGAGACGGTCCCTGAAAAAAATACTTTAAAACTTATTTCTGATTTTTCATCAAAAACAAAAAAATATTTATATTATTAAAAATTTAATTTATTTCTTTCTAATTTTAAATTATTTATTAAATATAAAAAATAAGATTTACTTTCAAATTTAAAGAATTTACTTGCAAAGTTAGGGAAAAATTGTAAAAAGATTTAAATGTCCTACTGCAATAAATGTTTATTATCAAACTTTCCTAGAAATGTAGTTTGAAACTTTACTAAACACATTTAAATTACATTTTTTTAGCGTGGAAATTTCATGCTAAAAATTTATTGAAGTAGGACATTTAAATCTTTACACAATTAAAACTAAACTTTGCGAGTCAGTTCATTAATATAAATAAAATAAATAAACATTAACAATAAACTAAATAAACGTAATCGACCGCAAAGCAGTCGACGGAGGGCCTAGTTTTAGTAACATGATAAAATATGAAATTTACCGTTGAATGAATTCCAAAGAAGATGATTTTTCTGGATCGTAATTATACCCATATACATAATGGGTTAATAAGAAAATCAATATTCCTCTTAAAATTCCATCGACCTCTAAAACAGTTTGCTTTTCAATTACAATCTTGCACTTGCAAGACTCGTCGTATTCTGACATTCCTGTTACGAACAACATCGGTCTTGAAGAATCGTCTTCGAAAACTTCATTTGTAGAGTTAAGGTCCTGAAAAAAATAAATTTCATTAATATCGGTCAATTTTTATGTCTTAGTTTCTATTTTTGTATATTTAAATTAAACTTACGACAAGAGTTAAGAGCTTTTTTTCTCCAAAGTGATAGGAAAGCATAAGAAAAATAGCAATCGTTTTAGGTAACTTGCTATTTAAATTTTTACAAGCTTCGCTTGCTTTCTTTATTTCTTCTTCTATATCTTTGGATTTTTTTGGACGATTATTTATATTTTTAAATTTTCGACTGTAGTAATAAAAATAATCATATATTATGGTTCCCTTTTTCTCAATATTTCCGTTCCAAATATTAAGAACATTTTTTCCAAGAAGAACAGAAGAATGTTCAAGAAAATAAGACAGTGTCATTAAGTGTGGCCAATGTAATAAAAGAATTTCAGACAGCTGTGAATCCTGATTGCTTCTTTTATTGATGATTATACGTTGATATGAGTATGTTTTATTTAATAAATCTTTCCTTTGTTCTTCACTTAGGTGTCCTTCTCTAAAGTCTTTTAATAAAACTTCTTTTTTTTCCATCTGACTTTCTTCTGATTCTCCATATGGCAAAGAAGGTTGATACGCAACGCATCCATATTCATTTTGTTCTAATTTGAACCTTTTTGATGATTCAGATTTAATTTTACTATTTTCCAATCGAACATCTTCAGCTTCTTCACTTTCCTGATGTGAAATTCTTTTTCTTTTTTTTATATCTTTATCTGCCATAATATACCGCACCCGATCATAAATTCTCATTTTCAGAATATTAATTCCATCAGAATATGTGCAACTGTTGTCAGTGGACTTGTCATCCCAGGTTTTACAGGCAAAGGCCTTGGGGAATTTATTCACGGTCTGTCTAGCTACATGTTCGGCAGTTTTTAATGCAGTATCTTTGAGGCTATTTTTCATGTAATCTGCCAGATTTCTAACAAACTGATTGTCCAAGGCCGGACTATTTTTAGAAGAGTCTTCAAATCCTTCAGGAACCAATTTTTCCCAAATAATTGGCATAGACACTGACCCCAAAGGAACAATGGTACTGACTTTCGAACTTACAGATGAAGTTAAAATGCTGCTGGTTTGGTTTTCTGCAAATTTATACAATGGTATTAAAAAACATTCTATTGAAAACTTGATGCTTCCTAGTTTAAACACATCTTATCAAAAAGTTTACAGTTGTGAAAACATTTTATTAAGAAATAAAATAGTATCAAATGTTCACAATGTTTTCATGCTAGTTGAATTTATTATTTTTCTTTACCTGTACAAGGTGAATTCCCAATCGCAGGTCTTTTGGCTACAGGTTCCCAATCCATATCCTCTGGTAAGATCATTAATTGTAAAGCAGCATTTGTGTAAGCCTCTTTTAGCATGATAAGCATGTCATAATCATCAATATCAGTTCCATCATCCTCAAGAACAATCTGTAAAATATACAAAGTAATATTCAGAATGTACAACATATTCTTTCTACAATTGTGCTTATGAGTAATTTAAAACTTTAATAATCTATATATTTACCTTATATGTAACATCTGAAGGAAGTTTTAATTTTTGACAGGCATTTGACATTAATTCTTCAAGACTGGATCCAACAGCTAAGTTCCTTTTCTTGCCTCCAAAATTTGTTACTTTAAATAGTGGCATTGTCAGACTGCAACAATATATTTTTGTCAATGTAGTTATACATAAAACAATTTTTGAATAAAATGTTTTTAGATTTTAACTCTGGCCTTAACTCTTAGTATGAGAAAACTTACTTTAAAGTATTCTTGTCAACATCAATAATTTTAACAAACTATTTCAGGAAATACTTATAAGCAGACATAAACATTTTAAAGTGATCATTTGTAGTATTTTAAAAATTTAATTTTAATAGCTAATGTTTTAAATTTATTTAGTTGAAGTAACTTATTACAAAGGATAAAATTATAATTATATATATTAAAAAAAAGACGCATTATAAGATTTTACAGTTCTTATGAAGAATTCAATTATTTTCAAAAATAACAAAATTTTTCACAGAAGGGTTGCCAGAAAATTTTT